TGACAGCACCTAGGCCCAGAGTTCAGGTCCCACAACTGACGAAAAAAAAAAAAATCCAGGAAATAAAATCACAAACTAAGGAAAGGAGACTATTAACAAGCAATTCAAGAAAACTTCCCATTTCATTTAGCTGCAGAGCTTCTGCATGGCAAAGGACATAGCTAGCAAGATTAATAGAAAGCCCACAGACTGGAAGATCTTTACTAGCCATACAATGGACAAGGGTCTCATAGCTAAAATATACTTGGAACTTAAAAAACTAAATCCCCTAACAACAAATCCTCAAACAAACAATTACCCAATAAATAAGTGGGCTAAAGATTTAAAGAGAAACTTCTCTGAGCTGGGCGCTGGTGGCTCATGCCTGTAATCCTAGCTATTCAGGAGGCTGATATTTGAGGATCACAGTTCAAAGCCAGCCCCGGCAGGAAAGTCTGTGAGACTCTTATCTCCAATAAACCACTAGAAAACCGGAAGTAGCGCTGTAGCTCAAGCGGTAGAGTGCTCGCCTTGAGCTAAAGAGCAACTTCGCTGAAGAGGAAATAAGAATGGCCAATAGACTCATTAAGAAATGCTCAACCTCTCTAGCCATAAAAGAAATGCAAATAAAAACAACATTGAAATTCCACCTCATCCCAGTTAGAATGGCTATAATCAAGAAATCTAATAACAACAGATGCTGGAGGGGATGTGGACAGAAGGAAACCTTACTGCATTGTTGGTGGGAGTGTAAACTTGTTCAACCACTTTGGAAAGCAGTAAGGAGGTTCCTCAAAGGACTCCACATAGAGCTCCCCTATGACCCAGCAATCCCACTTTTGAGCATTTACCCAAACTATCACAAACAAGGCCATACGGAGGCTATCAGCACAACTATGTTTATCACAGAATTATTTACATAGCTAAGATATGGAACCAACCCAGATGCATCTCAGATGAATGAGAAAATGTGATATACATGCGTCCATCAGAAAGAATGATATTGCCCCATTTGTTTCGAAAGTCTTGGAAGTAATTATATTGTGAAGTAAGCCAAACCCAAAGAAACATAGGTCCCACGGTTTCCCTTATTTGAAGTAACTAGTACATGTGTAGGGCAAACAGAAAAGGCCAAAAGCTATGTACATAAGACTATATAAAAGGATGTTAAGCAAAATGAATCCTAAGGTAGGGACACAAACATCTTTTTTCTTTCTTGTTATTGTTTCTAATGTATTTATAACGTACCATGTGATTTTTCTGTTGCTTTGTATGTTTCTTCCCCATGGTATAACCCCTATTTTCAATGTATTTGACGTTGGTGCCCTGCATCTTGTATATACATTTCTCTAATTTGGGGAGGCAAAGGGAAAAAACAAAATGCTTAAGTAAGGATACAGGTTGACCCATTGTAACAATGAAATACACAAAACACTATGAAAATGAACTTTACAACTTTGGGGGGGGTGTAGTTGTGGAGGTGGGAGGAAAGGGATGGTAGGGGGAAAACAAGAGAGGAGGCAACAATGCTCAATAGGAAATGTACTCATTACCATGCTCATGTAACTAACCCCCCTGTACAACATTTTTACAATAAAAAATGTACAAAAAAATAAAGTATACTGTAAACAGGAAAAAGAAAAAAAGAAAACTTCCCAGTACTGAAGGACAAGTTCATCTTCAAAGAGCTCAAGGGCTTAGCTCAATGCTTTATGGAAACAGACCTTCTTATGGTACAATCTCAGAACATTGTAATAGAAGGGGGAAAACAAAAGTCCATATACAAAGAATCACAACTAAGAATGGCTTTAGCTCTTATAAAAATGGTACAAAGATGCCATGCCTTCAAAACTTTGAAGACAAACTAATTCCAACTTAGATTTTCATACCTAATCAAGTGTGAAAGAATGATTTTAGATATATAGTATTTCAAACAAGCAAACTACTTCTCAAATACCCCAGATACAATACTTTCCCAGAGGGCTGGGAAGGTGGCTCAGTGGTAGAGCGCTTGCCTTGCATGCATGAGGCCCTGGGTTCGATTCCTCAGCACCACATAACCAAAAAGAAAAAAAAAGCCGGAAGTGGTGCTGTGGCTTAAGTGGTAGAGTGCTAGCCTTGAGCTGAAGAGCTGAGGGACAGCACCCAGGCCCAGAGTTCAGGCCACACGACCGGACCTAAAAACAATACTTTCCCAGGACTAGGTATTAAATGGAAAGAGAAAGAGGCTGTAAGAGGAAAGAGGAGCTTAACAGATGGTGTGGGAAACCTGGATGACCTCAGCATGTGGGGCACGTGTTTGATGGAGGAGACAACACAATTTAGACTAGGGCGGGACAAGTACAAACACATGATGTCAAGTCATTAGCTAAGACTAGAGTCCAACTAGTGGCATAGAAAAAACAAAGCCAATAAAAATGTGAGGGGATAATTAACTGAAGGGAAAAGTTGCACAATAATCTAACCTACAGATCAATAGTGACAATTTAACCAGTCATAATCTAACAATATCAAAGACTAAGAATTGTAATCAGGAAGGATGTAGGGGAGGAATAAGAATTTCAATGCCTAAAACTGAAACTGCAAGGACTGGCCACACAAACATAATGAATTCTTTTTTTCCTTAAGACAGTCTATGTAGTCCAGACTAGCCTTGAACTTCCATCTCTGCTTTGCTGGGATTACAAGTATGTACCACTATGGCCAGTAAGAACATTTAAATTGAACCAAAAGGGATTAGGGCAAGCAGGGTAGAGCAGCTGTTTTTGTTTTTTAATAATAAACCTTGCAGCACTATTTGTTTCCAATGTGTATGGTAACTGACTCCCCCATTCTCTCTAAAATGCAGGTTATGGTCTGGTAGTAGTATGCACCTGTAGTCCTAGCTACTCAGGAGGCTGAGGGATGATTGCTGTCCAGGAGTTTGACACTAGCTTATCCAACAGTGAGTGGGATTCCCATCTAAGAAAAGAAGTATGTAAAATTTAAATATACTTAGCCGGGTGCTGGTGGCTCTCGCCTGTAACCCTAGCTACTCAGGAGGCTGAGATCTGAGGATCACAGTTCAAAGCCAGCCAGGGCGGGAAAGTCTGTGAGACTCTTATCTCCTATAAACCACTAGAAAAGTGGCGCTGTGGCTCAAATGGTAGAGTGCTAGCCTTGAGTTGAAGAGCTGAAGGACAGCGCGCAAGCCCAGAGTTCAAGCCCCACAAAACAAAAAATAAAAATTAAAAATAATTTAAATATACTTTAATCTAAGGTCAAATCATGACCTCAGAACTACTGAATCAAAAATTAGTTAGGAAAACAATGGAGGGGGTAACAATGTTCAAGAGGAAGTGTACTCATAACCTCACTCATGTAACTGTAACCCTCTGTATAGTAGCTTTACAATAAAAAAAAAAAAAGATAAAAAAAAAAAAATTAGGGCACAAATACATTGTTTAAATGGCAGATTCCTGGGCTCTACTCCAAGTACATACATATATATTAAGCCATACCCTTGCCTTACCATCCTTTTTTTTTGTCTGTTGTGAGGCTTGAACTTTGGGCCTGCAGGATGCCCCTGAGCTCTTCAGCTCAAGGCAAACACTCTACCCTTGATCCACAATGCCACTTCCAGTTTTCTAGTGGTTAATTGGAAATAAGGGTCTCACACTTTCCTGCCTGGGCTGGTTTTGAACCATGATCCTCAGATCTTAGCCTCCTGAGTAGCTTACAGGCGTGAGCCTCGGGCACCAGGCTAGTCTTTTTCTTTGTGTCAATTCTGGGGTTGAATTCAGGGCCTAGATGCTGTCCCTGTGCTTTCTGGCTTGAGGGTAACATTCTACTACTTGGGCAACAGCTCCACCTCTGGATTTTTTGGTGATTAACTCTAAGAATCTTATGCCTGGAATGGCTTTGAACCTCAGTCCTCAGATCTCAAGCCTCCTGAGTAGTCAGCATTACAGATGTGAGTCACCAATGCCTGGCTACAATCTTCTTTTCTAACAGGATCCCTAGCTGGTACTGCTTACTCAGTACATAGGCTTCATTAATAAGTCATAAATCACAATCTGTAAGCCAAGGTTACTAGCAGGAATGAGGAAAAGTAATGGAAGCATTATTAGGGAGCAATAGTCACTGCCTAAAAAATTCCATTTATACATGCCAAACAAACCCAAGGTGGGGGCTGGGAAGGTGGCTCAGTGGTAGAGTGCTTGACTTGCATGCATGAGGTCCTAGGCTCGCTTCCTCAGCACCACATAAGCAGAAAAAGCCAGAAGAAACCCAAGGTGTATGTTAATTCAATGTTAATTCTTCCTTTGTGGTGCTGGAGTCTGAACCCATGGCCTTATATATACTAGTTAAGTGGTCTATCACTAAGCTACATTCTAGCCCTCTAAGTTTCTTTTCCTCCACCAGAAACTTTGTAAATTAACTCCCAGTCAAATCTAAAACAAATTAATTCTTTAATTCTATTCTCAGTGACTTAAGTTCATTTGAAACAGTCAGCAATCCCAGAACCCTCTATGGAGTAGCTCTGCCTGCAGGGGCCACTAGCATGTCATGTAAATGTGTTGGAAGAGCTTAACTCAAGTGTTTGGATTTCCTTTTTCTATTATTTAAGTGAATATATTTAATGAACCAGTAATAAACCAAGAGTAGTGGTTTTTTATAACAAGCTAACAATCCTGTTTAGGGAGCCAATAATGGATCCCTTTTCCTCTTGAAGGTTTATACTATAGCTCCTGAACCAAACTCATGGCAACACTATGAAACTTCAAGCAGCTCTTTCAATATTTGTCTTTTCTGGTCACAGTTATTTACTTTGTATACCCACTTATCCTTTTTAGTTATTTTTTTTTTCTATATTAGCGACAACAAGGAGATGCTCTGGTAACTCATAAGGCCTGGAATAGAAGCTTGAATTCATCAGTAACTGCTATTTCAAAATGCTGGCATTCTCCCAGATCTTCTAGGGTGTCAAAACTTAACCCACTACCAAAGCAAATTCCTAAATGAACATACAGTCAAAAAACCCAAACAACATAATCAGATTTATTTAGTTTAACAGTTCTTCTGATCTAAAAAAAATGATGTCAAAAGAAAACATACATATAGGTACCCACCCAGATAAACTCAGATAATCTACAGAAAAAGAAAAGGCTAAGTTCTGTTTTACAGAGAAAATTATCTTCGTTTCTGGAAGATGTTTCCACGTCCCATTCCACGTCCTCTTCCTCTTGCAGCCACTGGAAGAGACAACAAAGACAGGTCAATGGAGCCCTGGACATTAGCTCTGGAATGGATATCAAAGGCCACACCTGGTCCAACACCACTTTAGTCCTTTATACTTCACAGGCAGTGTGGAGACCCAAAGAAGGGCTAACACTAGCAGCCAGCACCCACAGCAAAGATAGTCTGAGAACCACAGAGAGATGAATTCTCAGAGTTGGTCTAGGGTGAGCTACTAAACCATTATAGATGCGTTTAATATTCTTTTTTTTTTTTAAATAAACTCAGGGTCTTGAGCTTTTCACTGAAAGCTAGCACTCTACCACTTTGAGCCACAGCATCACTTTCTGTTTTCTGGTAGTTAATTGGATATAAGATTTCCTAAGCCAGGTGCTGGTGGTTCATGCCTGTAATCCTAGCTACTCAGGAGGCTGAGATCTGAGGATCATGGTTCAAAGCCAGCCCAGGCATGAAAGTCCATGAGACTCTTCAATTAACCACCAGAAAACTGGAAGTGGTGGTGTAGCTCAAGTGGTAGAGCGCTAGACTTGAACTGAAGAGCTCAGGGATAGCACCCAGACCCAAAGTTCAAGCCCCATGACCACCGACCCCTCTCCCTGCAAAAAAAAAATTTCCTGCCTAGGCTGGATTTGAATTATGATGCTTAGATCTCAGCCTCTTGAGTAGTTAGGATTACAGGCATATGCCATAGATACCTGGCTCATTTTTATTATTCTAAAGTATATTAAGTGTTAAATGTTAACATCTGTTAATTCTGGTAGCAAATTTAAAGAATTCTTTCGAGTGTCTCTGTATAAAAGATATATTTAATAGCAAGGATAAAATAACCATCTCATACAAAGAACAAAAGAACACTGTTGTTCTCTGTGACCCAAGGGATCTAGGAGGGTACAAGAAGATTTGCAGAACAGATGAAATATTTGGATGTATATTAACAGGAGTCTTATTACTCTCTGCTCTCCCAGACAGCCTGGGGCTATATTAAAGGGAGAAGAAAACCGCACAGAAACCTACACACCTGCTGATAAGACTAGAGTCAGGGCCTGAGAGAAGCACAGGTGGCCCAGGCAGGAGTCAGTAGATCTGAGCAATTACCACCAAGTTCTTGCTAATGTAGCAGTATGCTACATTGGTGTCCCTTTGGCTGGGAAGATGGAATAGCCAGCCACTCTATGACAATGAGGGCAGCGTATCTCCAAGGAGATGAAGAGCAAGGTTTTCTCATCGGGTCTCTCCACCCACCTGCCCTCCAACCAGGGCATTTTGAAGGATTAGACTTTAAACTCAAAAGCTACCTCACATGAAAACATTCACCTAAAGCTACTGATGGAGTCCAGGGACTTCCCCATCTACTAATCATTTCCCCAAGTATGAAGAAAGTGTCTTCATTTTTTGGTGGTATTCGAGTTTGAAGCCAAGGACTTCATCTTCAGCCATACTGCCAGACCTCACTAAGGCAGTTACTAAGGACCACACTTGCTTCCTCATCTGATTAATGACAGAACTTACAGGCTCTGAGTCACTGGGGACAGATTGGTACCACTTATAATATGTGCTAAAGGAAGGATTTCTTTTCAAACTTAAGAAGCCTTGAAACTAGAAGCCCAGCCCCAACAGTATTTAAAGGCTGGCTCATACCTGCTTGTTTATCTGGAACTATGCTGGGTATCAACACATTACCCATTCTCTGTAGGAATGCTACCCCACTAGGGAGTCTGCAAAGCACACTAGATAAGAGCAAGCCTTCCCAGGTTCCTTACAGAATTTTTGCAAAGGGAAGTACCTTCTAGAAATCCATTATAGGACTCGTTTTCTTTCAATTAAACAAGGACTTCACTTTTTCCCTAAGGAGCTAACTTTGGATTTTGCATTAAGCCTTGTATTTGGATCAGGTGAGACAAAGCAACTACAAGGGTAAGGTTCCCCTCACTCCTCATGGCCTAGCAAGGCTGGGAGTGGGGAGACAGCTGAAATCTGGTTCATTCCTGTCCCAGGCAATAACAGGGCTCTTTCCTCAAAGATGCAAGGTAAGCCCCTATTTTAAAACCAGAGCAAGCAGAGCAAGAGGGGCACCTACCTTGGGCCTTCAGAATAGCAGCTTTTCCACGGCCAGCCCCCGAGCCTTGGTTTTTATTTTTCATGCTCTTTAACATTGGTGCATTTTTTAGCATATCAGGCAATATCAGAAAGCGGATCTTGCTGCCACGGATGTATACCTGCTCCAGCTGTGCCACTCGGCCATCTCTGTACGTGACTGTGATGTTGGACATCTGGAAGGAAATCACCAGGCTCATCAGTAAGGTCAATGGTACTCAGATACATAAAAAGGGGAAGCTTTGACCAGAAAGTCTAGAAATGCAAAAACTGACATTGTGACATAAAAGAGATAGAGCTGGTAAAACATACTAAGAGTTTGTGTTTCATGTGTGGCCCCAGGGACTTCATAAAGAACCTCACATAAATGGTTTTCACAACATGTCCAGGGCAGGTGTAAACTCTCCCATTTTTACATATTAAAAACAAAACAAAAATTCTAGACACTTGTCCAAGGTCAAACAGGTGGAAAGCTGAGGATTCCAGATTAGAACTGGCTAAGCCAGTATTGCTTCCTGAGTCAGTGTGTGAAGAGCTGTTGATTTTGTTGAGCCCTAACTGGGTTTCAACTCACATCCTCCCATGCAACCAACCACCTGGTACTTAAGACCACAAAAACCACCTTGAAAGTCATGAGCCTATACCAGACACAGTTCTGACTCTCACAAAGTATGTGTTTTAGAAAGGGCAAATAATAAGGGACTAAGAAGTAGAGGCAGTAGTGCCTGTTCTCCAGACCTGCAATATAAGAGCTTCCACATGGAAAACAAAAACCTCAGCAGGAATATGAGATCAAGGGTATCACTCAAAGTTGTGGACAGAAGAAAAATTGCCAGAACTACGGCAGCTCCTTAAATAGATAACATGAATAGATGGAGGAAGGGGCCTCTAGGAAAAACCAGCCTGGAGGCTTACAGGGTATGGAAAGGTAACACAAATCTGCCAGTACTAAATTCAATAGGTGCCATGTGTACCAGAAGTAGCTTTATGAGTCATCTGGATGAGAGGACTATAATTTATCCAGATGGGTAATGTCCACATGGCAGAGATGTTCTGTCTTCTTTGATTTCTCTTCTGCTTGTTGCCATCGTACACTCACTTGTCCTTCAAGCACTAACTGACCAGTTGGTTTCTGCTTAAAAACTCAAGCGTGAGAAAAGACCAGCAGTGCTCTGGGGCTGTCCCTGCTCTTATCTATGTAGCTAGAATGGTTTCCAGAGCTTCCATTTACTGCTCCTGTTTTACCGTCAGGGCAACAGGGCTTTTGTGTTCCCTGTCAACCTGGGGACTCAACAATACCCCTACTTCTTTAAATTTTCACACAGTTCCAAAGTCCTTGCCATATAGCTTCCCTCCTTAAAGAATATACAACCTCTGGTGCCACAAATAAACATAAATACAGTTATGGTTGGTCTATCCTATAGAGAAACCTCAATCCCATCCAGACTCCATAATACCAGATACATTTGTGGCTTCTCAGAAGACACAGAAATGGCCTAAAGGCCTATAACAAGAGCAGCTTCTGCCAGGTACAAGCCAGAATATATCTCCAGAATTTTGAGTCCCAGTTCTCTCCCCTATGAGAAAAGTACAAGGCCAATATTTCCTGAATACAGATTAGATATTAACTTCTTCACTTTATCTACTGCTCAAAGTCACAGTGCCACCTATGTTGCTTGGCTGGAGTCTGAACCCAGGTCTGACCCTAAATCTATACTCTTTTTTTGTTGTTGTTGTTGTTGGTTGTGGGGCTTGAACTCTGGGCCTGATTGCTGTCCCTGAGCTCTTCAGCTCAAGGCGAGTGCTCTACCACTTGAGCTACAGTGCTACTTCCGGTTTTCTGGTGGTTTATTGGAGATAAGAGTTTCACAGACTTTCCTGCCCAGGCTGGCTTTGAACCACGATCCTCATATCTCAGCCTCCTGAGTAGCTAGGATTACAGGCGTGAGCCACCGGCACCTGGCTTAAATCTATACTCTTAACCACTGCAACAAACTATATATTTCCTAGAATTGCTAAAGAGAAAATCAAGCAAGACAAAGTCTAAATATTGTAACAATTACCTATCAAATAACAGCAGTTTAGGAAATGTCACACATAACTGACAGTTAAAATGTCTAGACTGGTACCAGTGGTTTATGCCTGTAATTCTAACTATTCAGGGGGTTAAGATTTGAGGATCTCAGTTCAGAAGCCGGCCATTGCAGGAAAATCTACACTTAATCAGTACAAAGCCAGAAGTGGAGGTATGGCTCAAGTGGTAGAGTGCTAGCCTTGAGCAAAAAAGCGTAGGGTACTTGCTTAGATGCACAAAGCTCTAGGTTTATCTTCAGGTACTTAAAAAGAAAAAAAAAAAAAGAAGGGCAGGGGGAGTGCCTCCCTCTTTATTAGCATTAGCTCAAACCTTCATTCTACATGGCCACCATGCTTCAGTTGGGCCTATGCAATGGAAATTTTCATAAAACCCTAGAGAATAAGAACTAGAAAGCCCACAGTTAACAGATCATGTGGAGATTTCTGGAGGCTGTGCATCTAAGGAAGGGAAGGAAGCTCCACAGCCTTCCTCCATATCTTGCCCTACACATCTACCTCTTCATCTGTATCCTTTGCAATATCCTTATAAGCTGGTAAACATTTAAGTGTTTTTTCCAAGTTATGAGCTGCTTGAGCCAACTAATCAAAACCTGGGTAAGAATCCCAAATTTTATAAGCAGTTGGCCAGAAGGGCAGGCAAAACAATCTGGGGCTTGCAGTTGGTACCTAACAGGGGCAGTATTGAGGACTAAGTTCTTGAACTGTGATATCTGACGCTATCTCCATACAGATAGTGCCAGTACTGACTAATGGGGACACCCAACTGTGGAACACTATAGAACTGATGGCTTGCTTGATGTGGGGCACATCCCTAAAAAATGTGGTATCAGTAGTAAGCAATGTTGACAATACAGTAGGAAAGTGAGTTTGAAATGGCTTTTCAAACTGTTCAGGACTATCAACATACTAAAAGTATACACTCTGGGGCTGGAAAGGTGGTTCAGTGGCAGAGTGCTTGCCTTGCATGCATGAGGCCCTGGGCTCCATTCCTCAGCACCACATAAGCAAAGCAAGCCGGAAGTGGTGCTGTGGCTCAAGAGATAGAGTGCTAGCCTTGAGCTGAAGAGCTGAGGGACAGCGCCCAAGCCCCATGACTGGCAAAAAAAACAAAACAAAACAAAATAAAAGTTTACACTCTATAGGACAAGTTCACACACACACAATTTAGTTGCCATGATGTTTAGTTGCCACTGGAATACCAGCTTATACCATCCACTTACACCCAAGTGTTGTAGGGTAAGGGCAAAGAAGTACAATGAATGCAATCTACTCTAAAATAGGGAGTTGGGAATGTGGCTTAGGAGTGCTTACATGAAGCCCTGGGTTCAATTCTTCAGTACCACATAAACAGAAAAGTCCAGCAGTGGTGCTGTGGCTCAAGTGGTAGAGTGCTAGCCTTGAGCAAAAAGAAGCTCAGAGACAGTGCCCAGGCCCTGAGTTCAAGCCCCCAGACTGGCAAAAAAAGAAAAAAAAAAAAAAATCAATCCAGAAAATAATGTGTATAGTTTAAAGATATTCTATCATATTTCACTTTTAAAACTCAAAAGTTTAAAATAAGTTGGACACAGATGGCTCATGCCTATAATCCTTGCAACTCAAGAAGCTGAGATCTGAGGACCTAAGTTCAAAGCCAGTCCAGGCAGACAAATCCAAGAGACATATCTTCAATTAAGCAGCAAAGAGCTGGATGTAGGGTCATTTAACCAGTAATCTCAGTGATGAAGAGTCACATCAAAGTCTCAGCTTTTGGCAGAACCTATTAACCACTTTTTCCCAATACAGAATCTGGTCACTTTGTGTACAGTGAAACTGATTTGACCAATACTGTCTTCTTTTTAGACCCAGGACCTCATATCCTCACTGAGCTTTTTCCCTCAAGGTTGGAGCTCTATCACTTGACCCATACTTTCACTTCTAGGGTTTTTGCTGGTTAGTTGGAGATAAGAGTCTCTTGGATTTGTCTACCCTGGCTGGTTTCAAACCTACAAGCACTTAGCCATTATTCTCTTCTTTCTTTATATTTACCATAAACTTAACAGACACTCATTTTCTACCGTGCCCAATTACCATTTCAAAAACAAGTAATTTTATTTTATTTTATTTATTTATTTATTTATTTTTGGTTGTGGGGCTTGAACTCTGGGCCTGGGCGCTGTCCCTCAGCTCTTCAGCTCAAGGCTAGCGCTCTACCACTTGAGCCACAGCGCCACTTCCAACAAGTAATTTTATTAAGTTCTAGTAAAAGATACTTTGGCTTTCAGTTTTAAATAGTACTATGATATTCCTGGCACATAAACTTTTGTCCACAATTTTGAACTGGTTCCTAGAAATAGAACTCCTACACAAAACGGCACAAAAATTTATCCATATGGGGCTAGGAGTGTGCTTTAGTGATCCAGTTCTTGCCTAGCACGCATAAAGCCCTGGGTTCAAGGTCCTCAGTACCACATAAACAGAAAAAGCTGGAAGTGGCACTGTGGCTTAAGTGGTAGAGTGCCAGCCTTGAGCAAAAGCAGCTTAGGGACAGTACCCAGGCCCTGAATACAAGCCCCAGGACTGGCAAAAAAAAAAAAAAAATTCATACATACTAACACGTTAAATACATGCATTTCCAGGAAAAAAAAATATACTAGTTTACACTTCTACTGGCAGTGCAGCAAAGAACCCTTCAATAGCATCATTAATTTTTTTTGGGGGGTCTGGTTGTGGGGCCTGAACTCTGGGCCTGGGCGCTGTCCCTCAGCTCTTCAGCTCAAGGCTAGTGCTCTACCACTTGAGCCACAGGGCCACTTCTGGCTTTTTTCTTTTTGCTTATGTGGTGCTGAGGAATCAAACCCAGGGCCACATGCATGCAAGGCAAGCACTCCACCACTGAGCCACCTTCCCAGCCCAGCATCATTAATTTTATTTCCAACTTTGGACATTTTTTTCTTTCTTGGTGGTATTGTAGGAGCCTTAAGCCACGCCTCCAGCCCTTTTTGCTTTCGGTTATTTTCAGGAATCTCAAGCTTTTTGCAGGGCCAAACTTCAGACTATGATGAGCGCTACTCATGCTTCCACACCACTTAGATTACAGGTATGT